CGGTGTCCGCATCACGGTTGGCTACAAGAGACTCGACCAGTCTGTGAAGCGACAGGTGTTCCCGGTCCCTACTCTGGAGCAGCGGACCTCCAAGCTGAGTGGCGCGACGCTCTTCACCAAGCTAGACGCCTCTTCCGGTTTCTACCAGATCCCGCTGGACGAGGCAAGCTCCAAGATGACCACGTTTATCACTCCGTTCGGCAGGAATAAGTTCCTGCGACTGCCGATGGGGATCTCGCTCGCACCGGAGTGCTTCCAGCGGGAGATGGAGATGCTGGACGGACTGCCCGGAGTCATCGTCTACATGGACGACACCGTGGTGTCCGGAGATGCTGCCAGTCACGATGCACGTCTCGAAGCCGTCATCAGGAGGATCCACGAGTCTGACCTCAAGCTGAACAGGAAAAAGTGTGAGTTCCGGAAGAACGAGGTCAAGTTTTTGGGGATGAAGATCAGCAAGAACGGTATCAGCATGGACGAAGAGAAGCTCGAAGCGATCCAGCAGCTCCAACCGCCAAGGAATGTCAATGAATTAATGTCTCTGTTCGGAGTAATCAACTTCCTGGGCTGGTTCATTCCACACATCCAGGAGTGCTTGAGACCACTGAACGAGCTTCTGAGGAATAACGTAGCATGGATCTGGACACCACAGCAGCAGCAGGCGCTGGATGACGTGAAAGCAGCCGTCACTTCAGCTCCAGTTCTGGCGTTCTACGATCCAGCACGAGAGACGGTGGTCAGCGCCGACGCCAGCCGATTCGGCATCGGAGGATGTGTTCTCCAGAAGCGCGGCTCCGTCTTCAAACCCGTCGCGTTCTGCAGCAGAAGCCTGACTGACACCGAGGCCAGATGGGCCCAGATCGAGAGGGAACTACTCTCCGCAACGTGGGCGTGGGAGAAAATGCACATGTTCCTGTCCCGACTGCCGTCGTTGGAGCTGCATCTGGACCACAAGCCTCTGATCCCGCTGGTTAACACGAAACATCTCGTGGATGCGCCTATCAGATGCCAGCGCATGCTCATGCGCTTGATGCGATACAACGCCACAGCAGTCTTCGTTCCAGGGAAGCAGCACCTGATGCCCGACTTCCTCTCACCCGCTCCAGAAGCAGGATGAAACCAGCGCCGTGCTTCAAGAAGACATACATGGATTCTGCGAGAGAATCTTCAGCGATCCTCCCTTCACACCACAGCGTCTGGTGGAGATCAGCAAGGCGCGGCAAGCGGACGAACCCCTACAGCGCGTCGTTCAGCAGACTCTCTCTGACTGGAAGGAGGGAGCGAAGCATCCCGACCTGCTGGACTACTTCGCCTCTCGGGGAGAGATGAGCGTTCTGTACCTAACGTGTGGTACACTGCTGATGCACGGGCGACGCATCGTCATCCCTCCGAGTCTGCGAGATAAAATGCTCACCCGATTACATGATGACGGACGCTTCGGTCTAAACAAGTGTCGCCAGACGGCAGCAGTATCGATCTGGTGGCCTCAACTCAGCATCGACCTGAAGCGTCATCTTGAGGGCTGCTCGTTCTGTCAGGTGAACGCGCCCGCCCAGCACGCTGAGCCACTGGTGACAACCCCAACGCCATCAAGACCGTGGACGCACGTTGCAGCAGACGTCTTCCACTTCAACAACTGCAACTGGCTCGTCACGGTGGACATCTTCAGCAGGTATTTGGAGATACAACGCCTCCCGAGTCTCACCAGTAGCGCAGTCATCGAGCGTCTGAAGCGCCTGTTTTCCCGCTTGGGGATACCAGACCTCGTGACAACAGACGGAGGAACGCAGTTCACTTCAAGCTCGTTCGCCAACTTTACAGCGTCCTACGGCTTCACAAACCGTATCACAGACCCGCACACGCCGTCTTCCAACGGAGCCTCTGAACGAGCTGTGAGAACCGCCAAGTGGATACTTCGCCAGAGGGACTCCTACCTCGCCCTCCTCAACTACCGCACGACGCCTGTGGAAGCAATCGGATACTCCCCAGCCCGTCTCCTGATGGGACACGAACTTCAATCTCGTCTCCCCATCGCTCAGCCAACCGGAGAAGCATGGCAGCATGCCAAACTCCGAGATCGGCAGAGGAAGAAGAAGCTGGAGACGTGCTTCAACCGGAGACGCGGTGCCCGCGACCTTCAGCAGCTACAGCCCGGGGATGATGTTCGGGTCAAGACGGAGAAGGAGGCAAACTGGTCCGAGCCCGCCACCGTCATAGAGAAGCTCTCTAGACGCAGCTACCTTGTGGAGCTCAAGGGTGCTCGCTATCGTCGCAACCGACATCATCTGATGCAGATCCGTCCGTTTCAGGTCTTGACACAGCACGGTTCCAAGCGGCGTGCTGACCGTTCTGCACACAGGGTGCCGGCCCCAGAGCTCTTCTCCGGCCACCATGCTGAGGTGGCGCCACCGGCGCTGTTGCAAGCGCAACCGCGCGGACCGGCGCCTGCACCACGATCGGTGGTGCCACGGCCACCACCAGCTGTGCCGTCGCCCGCGTCGACAGCGGCGCCGCCGCCGTCGCTGCCGCCGCTGACAGAAGCTGCGGCCGCTGACAGAAGCTGCGGCCCAGCCCTGCAACGCGCAAGTGCCCCAGACATAAGACCCAACGCCACTGCTTAGTTTCAGTCCGCGTAAAATACGCAGTGGCCGCGTTTTCTGAGAGGCATCAAAGAGAAGCAGCAGGAAAGCAGATGGGAAGCAGCAGAAAAGCAGCAGAGAAGAAGCAGTCTGAGAAGCAGCAGAGCAGAAGCAGGGAAGCAGCAGGAAAGCAGCAGGGAAGCAGCAGGGAAGCAGCAGTCTGTCGCCAGTAATTTCGTTTCGCAAGCGTATTAGCATTTATTTGCATTTGCTCAAGGGGGAGATGTATCATGATGTTACTGGCGTGCGCCTGAGGCCGCCCCTGCTCGCGCCGCCAGTGCTGCTGCACCTGGGTACGCCGCTGCCCCGACTGGCGGTGTACTGCCTGGAGCGCCGCCCACCGGGGTCGGCGCCGCCCGCTCGCCTCGCGGGTTAACACAATTGCCGTCTCGCTTTGCCAGCAGTTGCCAGCGCTCGTGTCTGGTCTGGGCAGACAGAACACGTAAGACTTGAATAGTGCTCCGATGCGATAAGCTCGAGGACGGTGGAATCGATGTTGAGTTCCAGAACGGAGAGGAGGCGAAACGGGCCAGGACCTCGGCTATATTTGTGTACCGTGTGCGGGATGCGGAGGGGAAAAAGGACATGTCAGTGACGATGGCTGTGGAGGTCCATAGGACAAAGAACTCGTCGAAGGGCATCGTCAACTGTTTTGACCTGAGATGATGTCGGTGATGAGGAAATGTTCGACGGCCTCGCTGAGTTCTGGGTGACAGATGCTCACCGCATCAAGGTGCGCAGGGGTCCGGAGCTGGTCCCCACGAACAACATCGCGCTGGCTTTTAATCGCCCTGACATTCTATCTGAAGTAAGGATAGGCTATGTGAAGGTGAAGGTGCGGCTTTTTATGCCGAACCCCATGAGATGTTTCAATTGCCAAATGTTTGGACATACGAGTGACTTCTGCCGCAGCCAGCCAGCATGTGGTAAGTGTGCTTCTCCGGAGCACCCGAGTGATCAGTGCACTGCAGCGAACCGATGGTGTGTGAACTGTAGGAAAAACCAGAAACCTCACTTAACTTTCGATCGTGCATGCCCGGCGTGCGCCAGGGACAAGATCATCGCGCTGAAAACCACGAAGAACATCCCATTTCGGGAATCAAGGGATTTGTATGAACTGAGCCACCCTAAGACATCATATGCCACAGCGACTAAGGCTCCTGTCCCACCTGAGGTCTCCTTAGACCAGATGACTGGAACGCAGTTCATTAAACTGCTTACATCGTTCGTGCTGTCGGTTGTACCGGCGTCTCAGGTGCACGCCACAGCATCGGCAACAATGTCGTCCCTCATCTCGATGGCACCCTGTGCCCCCTCTGAGACACAGGCCAGCTCGCCAGTTGTGACCTCGCCGCCTCACCCCACATCGGCGGAAAGCAGTGAATGGACCGTAGTCCGCCGGGGCCGAACTTCCCGGTCTTCGCCGTTAAGCACGCGATCACCGGCTTCACAGCCGTCATCCCCAGGAGCATCACGTCCTACAGCACTGAGTGACACGATGGGACGAAAACTGGACAACCTTAAGCGCCATGAGCCGGAGAGACGGGCGCGTGAGGCAGAGTGTACATGCCTTTAGGAGCAGAATATGGCGAAGGCAGCCAGTTGGCTGTTGGGTGCGGGCCCCGGGCCTGCTCCCACGGGGGAGGTAGTCCCACCCCTCCCCTCCCCCCCGAAGGCGTGTGGAAGCTCCCTCAGGCCGCTCCGACTCGCAGAGAGACCCGTCTGTGTCCTCCGCCACCACCGCCACCTAGGACCACGGCGTCGCCGGCGCCAAATGCACGGCATGATGCACCAATCCGCAAGCACTCGCCATGCCATGTGTGTTCGCAGTGCGTGTACATGTGCGATGCATTTCTTTCTCTGGCAGGTTCTGACAAGACACTCCTGGAGAACCTGCTGCTGACGGCTGACGGCCAGGCGCCGGCGGCGAGGCCATCGCCGTGGCGTCGTCCGGCATCACAGCCTCCCGGATGGCGGCATGACTGCCCACTGTCGCTTCAGCATCCCACTCCACCTGCACGACGCGTCCACCTGCGACCTGCGCAACAGCTCACCGGCCGCCGACGATTTCAGACGCTGCGTGCTGCTGGTGTGAAGTGAGGTGGCAATGGTGCACCGGCGGGCAATGAAGGCCGTCGACGCGGCGCTGCGTGACGTGCGTGAGTCGGGGTTCGGTGATCTCTTCACCGTTTTCGCGGGCGACTGGCAGCAAATCCTGCCGGTTGTCAGGGGCGGTGGGGGCTGCAGGGGGACGCCGAAGCGGGTGAGTACGCCCGTTTTCTCTGCCGGCTGGGGTCCAGCCAGCTGCTCCTGTGGCCCTACACAGAAGACCTGTGATGTCCTGTCGTGCTGCTACTGGCGATGCGCGGCTCGGCGCGGTCCTTGGCTGAGTTGGCGGCCCGGATTTACCCCGACCTGTCGCAAAACATTGACGACACAGAGTGGCTCGAAGAGCGGGCCATCCTCACCGTGTTCAATGCCGGCGTCAAAAGAATCAATGACCACGTCATTGACCGTCCGCCGGGGCCGGGGCACGTGTACACGAGCGTAGACAGTATGTCCGACCCTGACGCGGTGCCGCTGGCCACCGAGGTTCTTAACGGCATCGAGCTTTCTGGCACGCCAGCACATTGTATCCGGCTCAAGGCCGGCGCTCCAGTCCTCCTCATGCGTAATCTCGACGCGCCCAGCTTGATCATCGGCACGCTGTGCGTGACGGTCGCATTGTCCGCCGCCGTCCTGGAGCTGAAAAATATCACCGGTCCAGACCGCAGCCACGTGATCGCTGCGCCGCGGATTCCGATCGAGTCTACCCCGGACTCTGGCCTGGTGTTCTCATTCCGACGCCTGTAGTTCCCCGTGAGCGTGGCGTTCGCAATGACAACAGGAGCTGGGGACAGACGAAGAAGCGGGTGGGTGTGTACCTGCCCGCTCCCGTGTTCACACACGGGCAGCTGTATGTTTTCATGTCTCATGTGGGCAGCTTTGCCGGCATTGAAATGCCAGTCACGCGCAACGTGGTTTACCGAGAGGTCCTGCGGCAGTGAACGCGACCGCGGCAATGGCAGCACGCCTCCCCAGTGTGATACCTGGTCCCACCCTCAAAACTGCAATGTCCTTTGATTAGTGCACTTTTACTGTGCAGTGCATTTCATGTTGTGCCGTGTATGTGAAAAAATTCGCACTGCATGCCATTGTTCGTCATGTAAATCCGAGCCATTGCTGGTGTGAACGGTGCGGTTCGCGCGCCAGCGGAGCCCATCTGCAACGGCATTGGCCAGCGGCGGCCGGTCACGTGACGTGTACCGTACACCGATGTGCCTGCGTCAACACTGACAGTGCGCGTGACGTGTGCTAGCCATTGTGGTGGTAATCGGAATAATTGCCGGCGTGAACGGTGCAGATCGCGCGCGCGTATGAGTCACAGCTCATGCCTTAAGTTCATGCCATATGTAATGAACAGAAAAAATTGCAGCTGACGTTTAAGCTGCATAACGCGATCAAAATGGAGGTGACAATATTTTGAATCATAGATGGCATGAATGCAGCAAATTATAAGGCTAACTTATGTAATGGAACCTATGGAACACCTCAGTTGACCCAGCCCCTGCGGACATATAACGGACCTTACCTTACCTTACCTTACCTTACCTTACCTTACCTTACCTTTCCTTAACCAGAAGGAATACGAACAAAACAGCTGACGAAATAGTTTAGTTCAAGTTGGGTCAGATACTACCGTTATGTTGCGTGTGATGGCACGTGCTCTCTGATGTTTTTGCTAAGATACTGTCATGGAAGCTTGCGATCACCTGTGTTTGTGACTGCTGAGGCCATATCGGGACCACCATACCTCAGCTTTATCCTCCGCTTTATCTTGGTCCTTGCCGAACTCCAACATGTACCAGTCTAGCTCTTGGATCTTACTGAATCTCTTGGCATAATGTAATGCAAGGTCTTGGTTCTTGCAGGATCTTTCGGTACGGTGCCAGGCTGGTCACCTACATCAACTGTGGTAGCTGGCCAGTCATCAACGCCAACTGTGGCAGCGTGCTCACCACCTACACCAAGTGTGATAGGGACCCGTCACCAACACTAACTGTGGCAGCGTGCCCATCACCAACACTAGCGGTGTGCACCACTGGTTTCCGTCACCACTTGTGATAACCGGCCTGCGCTGCCAGTACTGCAGCGGGCGTATCTTCACCACGACGAGCTCTAACGTCTGATCCGCCATTAACGCCCGTTAAGCCTGCCACTTCGCCTTCAACGTAAGCTGTGACGCGTCATGCAACGGCCTCCCCAGACAGCCCTATTGCAGTCTACGACCCCCTCGACCAGTTTTATCAGCGTATCGCCCACCCCCAGCAGTTTTGTGGCGACCATTGCCACCGACCGCGGGGCTGCAGTCCTCCTCCATCCATTTCCGGCACCGCAGTGCTGACGTGCGGGTATCCAGGCAAGTGCTGACGTCAAATAGACAACGTTATGTATGACTGAGCGCCGTGCCAGTGTACCGCTGATAATGATGTCATCTGTGTTTTGCAATGGTTTCCATAGTCTGGGACAATGTCCCACAATGGACATCAAATGGAACATTAGAGTAATCTAGGGCGAAACATATCATACCTAATTCAAGCGATGGCGTCCAGTCAGCTGTTATGTAGAATATCTACACCGCGTGATTATGCAGTATCTCACTATTCTGTCAACATTAAGACGCGGGAAAGGGAAATGAGTACGGGAAATTCTCCAGTTGAATATCATATGTGTACTCATATATATATATATATATATATATATATATATATATATATATATATATATTAAAGATGGTTCGCACAAAATTACTGCAAAATAAATGCTAACAGTGAGTGTCCTCGACGCTACAAAATTAGCGTCATAAGGTCTTTTCTTCGACGAGCATTTAAGCACTGCTCTGATTGGACAGGACTACGTTCAGAATTGACACGAATCAAACAGATCTTGGTGAACAACGGTTTTTCAAATTCTGACATTGAAAACGAGACAACGACATATGACAAGACACTTTGACAGCAAACCAAGGCAAGACATCCAACCGACTGTCAAACTGTATTATCAAAATCAAATGACATCTGCTCACAAACAGGACGAAAAAGCTTTACGGGAAATTATCTCTCAACATGTTAAAGGCAAAAACGACCACAAAATAGACATTGCCATTTACTAATGTAATAATAAAATATCGAACTTTCTTATGAGAAACAGCCCAGACAAACCCGACAAACTGAAATGCACCAATGTAGTGTATCAATTCCAATGCAACATCGAAGGCTGCATTGGAATTGATACACTACATTGGTGTATCTACTTCGTCCCATACACTACATTGGTGTGACCACAACGACACTCTCACAACGCCTGACAATGCACTTACGTGACGGGGCACGTCTGGACCACATGCGACAGGAACACGACATGACATTGACACGACAACAACTGACAGACCGGACTGACATTTTACGGACGTGCAGTGACAGAAGATGCCTTCAAATTTGGGACAGCATATTCATTAACGAACTCTCTCCGGCCTTAAACAGACAGACAAATTCTTGCAGAACTCTTGAGCTACTAGGTGGGGGGCGTTGAGCACTTTTGATGTGATTGTGACAAAAGTGTTCCCATTGTGTCTTTGTGATGTTCCCATTATGAGTGTTCCTTACATGTATGAAGATGAAAATAGCAATCCGTCTTACTTCAATTAGTTATGCCTTCATTTATGTTCTCCGTACCAAAAGATGTTTTCCAACAGTAGTGCACAATTTTTCATACTTAAAAACTCAAAACTTATTTCTTGTGCAATTTAGTCTTCTCCGAAGATGAGACTAAGATCTCGAAACGTTAGAATGGAAGGAGTGATGAATATATGAGTAATTTTGTGCGAACCATCTTTAATGTAAGCGATGACGCAAAGTCAAAGGCCCGGAAACTAGAAAGATGCATCAAAAAGCTCGTCAATGCTGAGTCAGCAGTTTTTTTTAAATCAAACATGTATCAAAGAAATAATTCTGTCAAAATATTCCGACAAAAAGCTACATGACCAGGCAGTTAAGAAAGAGGGTTTTACCAAAAGGTATAGAGAACAACTTGTGAATCACCAACTGCAGCAAAAGAAGACAGCCTGTGAAATCCTGAAGAAAAAGAGAAAAGTTTTAGAACAAGAGCTACAGGTACATTGCCCTGAACATGAACTTAAACAAAAAGTACTTGATGAACACGACGTGATTGAATGTGACGCTAGACGTCTTACTAGAAACAGAATCGTGAAAAAGCTCTCAAGGCTCCATGGTGGACATACAGTTTTACCGGAAACTGCCGACGGTTACATCAATTTATCTCAACATGATCTTACTGAGGAACAAAAAGAGGTGCTTAATCTTGGACTTAATTGCCATGTGTTGTCGAAATATGACAAACTTAAGAAGAAAGTAGAACTAGAAATTCTTTACCAGGATATCTTGAATTTGGAAAAAGAGAACAAGGTTACCGTGGACAAGGATCTAAAGAACAGCTTACTAGGAGAGAGCACGAAAAAGCGTGGAAATGATAGGAGCAAGATATTCACGCAAGAACTCAGGACGGCGGCAAGGGAACTTCGAGAAAAAGACGACATCATCATTCGGCGAGCGGACAAATCATCACTCTACGTAATACTTGACAAAAAGGAATATCATAAGAAACTAAACTGCATCTTGAACGACGACAAGAAGTTCCGGCGCATCACAAAAGATCCAACAGACAAACTCAAGACCAAGCTTAACAAACTAATTATTGCTGCCAATGCCGCTGTTGATGGCATACACTTTTCCAAGATAACGGGTGAATTTGCGCCTGGCTATGCTTATGGGTTTGTGAAAACTCACAAAAACGGCAACCCCCTTCGTCCAATAATCTCACAGGTCCCTTCACCAACCTATAGAATTGCAAAACGTCTCAATGGTCTTCTGTCCCCATATCTTCCCATGTCTTAAAGCTTGTCATCAACGGATGAGTTTATTGATATAGTGCGATCTCGTCAACCTAAGGGCCTACTAGCCTCTCTAGATGTTGGAAATCTATTTACAAACGTGCCTATTGAAAGAACCATATCCATCATCCTTGACCGCGTCTACAATCATCCTGAAATTCCACCTCTCAAAATATCAAGGCGCCTTCTTGAACAATTACTAAAAGCGTGCACGTTGGAAGTTCCTTTCCGCGGGCCTGACGCACGAATGTATTGCCAAATTTAGGGTGTTGCAATGGGCTCACCTCTAGGACCTCTATTCGCTAATTTCTTTATGGGACACGTAGAAACCGACATACTACAAAAGGACGACATAAGACCGGACATTTACTGCCGCTACGTAGACGACATCTTTGTAGAAGTTAGGGACATTGACCAACTAGGACATCTCAAAAACACCTTTGAAGAACGGTCTGGCTTAAAATTCACAACAGAGCAAAATGTGCAAAACGTAATACCCTTTCTTGACGTAGCTGTCGATGGGCAAGGACACCAATTCAAAACGACTGTATACCGAAAACAGACCAACAACGGACGGTGCTTAAATGCTGACAGTGAGTGTCCTCGACGCTACAAAATTAGCGTCATAAGGTCCTTTCTTCGACGAGCATTTAAGCACTGCCCTGATTGGACAGGACTACATTCAGAATTGACACGAATCAAACAGATCTTGGTGAACAACGGTTTTTCAAATTCTGACATTGAAAACGAGACACAACGACATATGACAAGACACTTTGACAGCAAACCAAGGCAAGACATCCAACCGACCGTCGAACTGTATTATCAAAATCAAATGACATCT